ACAGTTATAACAGGCAGATGTTGTCTCCTACTCTTCAACAGTAAACAGCCTCCATTCTCCACTGTGTCTTTGTCTGTATTTGTTGATTTAAAAAAGGATGGTTCACTTTTGTTGCACCTTTACCTCCTGATTTAGAGAGCTGAATGTTTAACCTCTTCTCCCACTACTCAAAAATGCATCTTGTCCCTACTGAATGGTTCAGGTCAGGGAATATTTAGTGGAAACCCCCCCCACCCCAAGTGCTCACAAGGAACATCAGTATGGTGTTAGTTGTGTAGGAGACAGTTCAAATGGCTCAGGGCCATATTTTATTCAGACATTGAACTGGCTTGGTTCAATGTCTGAATAAATTCAAAGCAGCCCTGGGAAAAAAAAATAGCTTTCAGACTTTTCACGAAGCCATGGTCGCCCGGCATTTATATTTAAATCAGGTTGATGTGAAGGCAAAGACTCTGACTTTGCAGGGGCAAGAGAGCTGCAGGAGAAAACACTCCATTCATCCACCGTACCGACCTCACACTGGGAGGCTGATGTATTTGCTGACCGATCACGCTCGGTTTTGCTTAGATCGTAGTGGCAAAAAAAAAAAAAAAATCCTGAACTAATTCATTTTATAACCTTTATAGTCCCAAAGCCACTTCAGAGGAAAATACCATCTCTGAATACATTATACTTTTTAAAATAATTTTATTGTTCAGCCAGTGCAGGTGTAATATTGGAAGTATTTCTGCTCTATTAAGAAATTATAGAAATTATTCGGTAGCCGTTAATAGTCTATAGCTCTCTATGCTGAGAGTTTACTGTGACGTGTATTTACAGTCTCAGCCTGATTGGCAGGTTGGGAGTGAGGACGCCTGCAGTGATGAGTAAAGGGGAATACAGCTGTGTTTATCCTGAATAGGTGCCTAAATAATTCATACTAATCCATATCCTGCTAATTGCTCTAAAAATAGTTTTTGATTATATCTGGATGTTACAAGAGATGGCTGTGATTGGTTAACCACGCAGTGTGCAGTAACATATATTAAATATACAGTGTATAGGTTTAATGGACCCAAAAAATGAACCTAATCCACTCGTGGTTTAAAAGGCAAAAAAATAAAAAATAAAAAGCTATAATTGTGAAATGTAGCTATGCAAAAATGTAATTTTTTGGGAGGGTCTGCACAACATTTGTCTTCACTGGATGAAGGTACAGTAATAGCTGCACACTCGTCTTAAACTGGGTATGTTTAGCAACATTTAGCTTCCCCTAGCTTTTGCTAACATGTTAAACTAGCTAAACTGCTCAAACGTGTGTTTATGCCGATAACTCCTTTTCAATATTTGCACAAGGTAATAAATATATGACGCCTCCAAATATCATGATGGTAAAAGACAAATAAAGGACAAACCAATACCAGGTAATAGTCCCTGGAGAATTTGACCTTTCCCTGTAGTGAATTGTAGTGTGTACTTTCCAATGACCCCGCGCCTCGACCGTAATCCCTCACTACAGACGCTGGATTAAGGACTCTTATTAGCCTCCCCCTCCCATCCATTCACCAGCCGACCCGCTCCTCCTTAGCCTGGATCGATGGCTGGCTGGGTCTGAAGTGGCAGCTCTGGTTATTAAACGTGGGACCAACCAAACCCTTCGGACCAGCAGGATAATCCCATCACAAATTAAGTAGATGAAAATTGTTCAGGAAAAAATGGGGAGTGTAGAGAATCTCCATATCGCGACCTTCTGAACAGCAAAAAGCATAAACAAACAGCACCTCGATTTCTTTTTTTTTTTTTTTCATCATAGCTTAATCTGCAGGGAGTTGAACCCCTGATGGATCGGCATCTTAATAACTGGGCTGTTATATAAAAGAACGTCCTGGTGGCGTCGTAAAAGAATCAGTGTTGATGTGTAAGCAGAGATGTTGCAGGCAGACAGGGTCAGAGGACGTGTCGACTCCCTCACTCCCAGTAAATCCTTTATTATTTTCATTCATGCTGTTGTAATAATAAAAGAATGCAATAAGTGGTAATAAAGAGGTTTAATTTAATGGACCTGAGAATGGACTCGGCAAACGGGGACAGATAAATTAAATATTACAAAAGGACACGTTCTAGGCCGAGGTATAATATCACTTATATTAGTGGTTTCCAAACTTTTTTAGTCACGCACCCCCTAGTGGCAGCTTGTGCACCCCCATGTCCTACAGTATTGTGTTATAATTACACCAATAAATATTTTATTATTTTCTTCTTTAAAATTGCCTATAAATGTGGTTTTCCAAGAAATGACAAAAAAAACGTTCCACCATGAGGGTCAGTTACGTCCAAAATCTAAAGAAACAGAATAACTTTACATACCAACGTGCACGTCTAAACACACGAGCACAACACATTGCTTTATGTACAAAATAAAAAATATATTGACGTAGATGGACTGCCTTTCCAGCGCACGTGTGTGTGCACGTGTTCCATCCGAAGTCGTCAAGCGGAACGATCCCTGACGTTAGTTGCTCCTCCGTCTGAGGTGAACGTCACCAGGGGCCTGAGCTGGATGTAAACCAGCCGCTGGTGAGAGCCAGTAAAGTCTATTAAATGCCATTATTGAATCTTCAACCTAATTTAGAGGTGAACACAGCAACTGTCTGGCTTCTAGCAGCGGGTTTTCTGTACTCGCTTTTCACGACATCCTGTGAGGAGGTCTAGACAACAGGTACAAACGAAACACATTTGCTCCGGCGGGATGAGGAATTTATTAGAAGATGTTGACGTGCCACTGGTGCTGCGCTGTCTCTGTCAGCAGAGACAGGTTAAACTTTATCTTTAACTTTTACAGGGAAACTTCTCCTGAATCAATGTTTAACAAGCTACCTGCAACTGCTCGAGATCATTTCTTGCAGCAGGAGTTCTCTCATGAGAAATATATAGCTCTATTGACTGAAGTAGAAGAAACTCTGAAAAAGTAATTTCAAAGACCTTTAGGATCTTCAAGGCATATCTATATGCTGTGAAACGTTTTTTTTTTTTTTTTTAGTTTTCTTTAACGTGGATTAATACGCCTAGCAAGTGGTACATGTTCATTATAAATTCAAATTCTAGTTGACACTCTGGTACAGGTAGAGATTTTAATAGAATAAACAGCATCAATCAAGTTATTGCTCCAGGTATCGGATTTTGACCAAATGTGTTTCGTTTGTACCTGTTGATTGTTTAACTATAACCCATGATAACAAAATAAGCTATTTCCGCACAGTGGAAGACATACAAAACAGTATTGGTAATTCGAAGGATTTATTGGTTTTAGTTAAGTTAGGGCTTACATAACATGTGACTTTTTGGTGTTATCAGTCACAACAAGTCCTAAGCATCCCTACGAAGATCTGACCAGGCAAAGGTCATGGAAGTAAAAGATGAAATCACATGGTTGAGAAAATCTTTGATTGTAGCTGAAAGAACATATTGATCCTTCATTGGGGGAAACAGCTGCATTAACAGCAAATCTGCTGCAACAGGCTGCCCAATAGAGGGCGCCAAGTATGTGGTTCCTCTGGAATTCGAACCCAGGACCTTGTGTGTAAGACAGATGGAAAGCAGGCATGATAACCGCTATACTAAGCGCTAGGAAATCCCCTTGACTGGGAATCAAACCCAGACCCTGGTGGTGAGAGTGCTGAATCCCAGACTGCTGTGCCTGGTCAAAAGAATTTAACTCCAGGGGCCACCCGGGTTTGAGCCGTGGACCTAACTGTCCATGTTAGGTTCGTCTTCACCTCCTGTAAGTGAATCCAAGGCACAGTCGCAAATCATGTTCTTAGAAAAGACAGAAACCTCCCTCGGATCCTGACTTTTATTGCATCACTGAACATTTTCATTTCATTTAAATCTTGACTGTTTTAAGTCAACGTTGGACAAGTGGGACACGTTCCCCTGGTTAAAAAGCAATAAAAGCATTTGACAAAATATTAAAGCACGGCTCTGGTCTTCATCCGTCCGCAAACATGTCGTTCCAACCCTTATTCCGAGTGCCGAGTCCCGTCATCATTCTCCACTACCTTGTGTCTGAGCAGGAGGTCTTTGGAAACACTTACAGCGGCACGGAGTTGCCACAGCTTTAAACACGCATGAGTTACGGCACAGCGTAAGCCGTGATTAAAATGCGCAGCTTCCACCGCTAAGACGTGTCTCGGCTGTATCAGATGGCGGCTTAGCACCGGCATATGCTCGCTGCAATCATCCACCGATGGATAACAGGTGGTTATTCAACTATTTGCATAATTATGGGTGCAACACACAGACTGTTAGAATGTCATAAACAAATCCATATGGCCTTCTGGGAAAATCCAGATGATTTATGCCAGAGCTCACAGATATAACCAAATTCCCGCCTCCCCTCGCTCTCTAACATCCAGCAGGATTTCTCACTGAATATTTTAACTGAGTGTGAAGTTAGGATCAACTTCATTTCTTCTCCCCGTCTTGGCAGCGCCGATGGAATGTGGGAACTTCATACTGGGTTGTACTTGTACATCGGTCAGTGCGGCCGCAGGAACATGGGCCAGTGCTTCCTCTTTAAAGTTCTTATAGACGGTTTGATTGCTAGCGTAATTTTAGTATTGGGTTTGGAAGGTTTTCCAGGAGTAGCTTGAGTTGGCAGACGGGCATGTTTAAATGACCCGTACCTAGGGAGTCTTGATATGGCATTTATATAATTTTGGCAGCAGTTATTATTATTTTAACTGTGACTATTTTGGGAAGGGTCGTGAGAGCAGCGCTGGTGGATTTCTTTTCCTTTACATTTCTTGCTGTTCAGTGTTGTAACTAAAACAAAAGTGACAACATGTTTTTCTCCGTGACTGGACTCAACCCAAGCCGAGCCCCATCAAGTTCTGCTGAGCTCAGTAGAAGTAGTACTAAATACTGTCGAATCTGCAATAAAAGAGTTAATGTCTTGTAGTTGAAAAATCAAAAAATACACCAAATGACAAATAAACCCCACTTTTCTGTGTCTCCTGCAGACATGCCTCTCCACGTCCGTCCTAGCAGTGATCCCTCCCTGGCTGCAGAAGTCCCAGTTGGTCCAGAACAGCCGTCCAGAATGAACCCAGTTCGCTGGTCCACGACTGCTGGCTTCCACAAGTACAACCACAAACCCAACACCAGCAGTGGAACTGGCAGTCTGGAGAGAAAGGTACAGTATGAATCATCAGTTCAGAGTTCACTAAATGAAGAGACTCCAGTATTCTAAACAGCCACGCACCTTGATGAACCATTAAAGTCATAAAGGCTTATGTCAACGCGCTAAACCGCTCGAACACGGAGCATAAACAGATCAACGCCGCATTTATTCTTCATTACGGCGCTGTCAAGTGGCGTGTGCTGACGCTCCTGCATTTTGACTGCGAACTATTTCTCACGGCGATGCAGATGCAGTGCAGCGGCATCGCTTATAATGTCAGAGATAATGTGTTCTGAATTCTAACCCACAGGAGCCTCTCCTCTCATCTGTATTCCTACGTTCCTCTGCACCCAAAACATCACAAAACGCCCTGACATATGAAACCTGTGCTGATCTGCCTGCAGATAACCAGCGGCGGCAAAGATCTTCCTTGTCTCTCTGATAACTCGAGCAGAAGTTGTGAAACACATTTCTTTGAGCCCCACTTTTTTCCCGGGCGCTTTCATTATAAATCCCGAGAATGTGAAGCTCAGGTTCGGTTCGTCCTCCCTCTGGCTCCTTAAAAGAACGGCGAGGTAATTAATGTCTAAAATGGCCGCCCCCATGTGGTGCTGATCCACCTCGTCTTCTCTCTTGGATACGAGATAGACAGTATGTTCCCAGAAAAGCGGGGAGGGAGGTTAAAAAGAGAAATGAATGAGTGCTCGGAACGTGACATTGCAACTCCCCGTGTGATTAGTTTTTCTAAAAGCGTCGTCAGTAATCCCATTTGAAAACACTTATGTCTTCAGAGCCATGACAACATACGACACACTCCACACGGTGGGCGGAGAAGATTTTTTAGTAAAGTGGGTTGTTAGACCCTTTCATTTTGTCTGAGAAGCTTCTTTTAATTCCCCTCAGGCACAAATCATACTAATAGAACACAAAGGAATGATTTTTCTTACACAAAATATTAAATAAATAAATACAAACGCAAAAGCAAAGACCTGGGGTGTTAATTGGTGAAACTTCTGACTTAATTTAAACAAACAAACTGCAGGGTGTTAATATTAAGGTGTGTTCCTGTGGTACGAGGTGTGTCGAGGTTCGATGATTTCTCTTTTGGCAAAAGCAAAAAAATCAATCCTGATATTAGTGTAGTTATGGCCAACGGTGACTCCAGAAACTTTTAAGGTGACCAGATGTGGTCATTGAAGTTCTTGCACATCAAACCGCTCCTCCTTGTGGTTACTTTTGGTTCAGTTCCAAGGTTCCGTTTGGTCAAGTCCTCCTCTTTCCTCTACTTCTCCTGTCTAGTTATCCAGTAATTGCTTACAGAAATAAAAACAGTTTTTAACAGCTGGGGGCGCCACTAGTTACGGCTGTATAACTGAATCGATGTATTACTGTTGTATCCCATGAAACAGGTTTCATCATTTTTTTTTTTTGCCGTTCTGTCTGACAAATGTCACGAGACCTAAAGTAATCCGTTTTCTTTTCCTCTCTGTGACAGGTCTCTTACCTGAGTCTTAGTTTTCATAATTCTTAATATCTCCTTCTCCTGTCACGCAGTTCGGCCCTCACCAGTCCACGATGAAGTCTATTTTCATACAGTCAGGCCCAGATGTTGAAGTTATTCCACTGACCGTGATGTATTTATGGCTCGGCACTCACGTCGTCCATTAAGGGACCGTACATCAGTCACAGGCGTTGCCAAAACCATACCTAAACCATACGTTACACACAGACACACTGTTGTCTGGCTTCGTTTCAAATCGCTGCCACGATCCTTTTGAATTCCACCCCTTGAGGCTAAATCCACACTACACCGTACAGATCTGTGGGATTCCTCAGTCACCAGCCAGGCCCATGAACTCATCATGTGTCCCGGAGTCTTTAAAGTGTTTTTCTTTGAATTCTCTATGTTTAGTGCAGCCAACTAAATGGATTAACCAGTGAGTATGATGATTTACTGCTGCCTCTTTGGTATCTTTGGTTTCTCTACATTTTACGATCTAATGTGCAATAAAACTTTGCGGTTAGAACTCCATTGTCACGGATTGTTGCATGTTGGGGACCGGGGCCATGATGGCTATCAGGGCCTGTCTCCGATGAGGCCACGTGTCTGGCTGAGTTTTTACAGTCCTGTCTGCAGCGCTTCCTAGCCCTTCGTCACGCCACATTCAGCTGCACTGAAACACACACAAAAAGGAAGAGGTCATCTCCTGTTCTTTAAATCAGTCTTCTTCAGTTATTCTGTCTTTGTTTTTCTCCATGCAGCGTGAATTTGTCTGTTGGCGAATTTTATTTCAATTTAAATATCTTTAAAAAATAGTGTAGCCTCTGCTCTGCTAATGTTTGCCTTTTCTAATGGAAAAGATGCCTCTTATTAGCGGCTCAACACCAGCTGTGCAGAGAGTTTGGAATGAATAACTCAGTATCTATATACAGTTTAAATACTCTTCCCCTATATTTCTGTCTGCTGTTGACTAATTCCACACAGTTACTGCTGTTTTGCTTTACCTCTTACCTCTTACTGATTCATCTGCAGGGAAGAGGGGCTCACGCCTATCGGAGTCTTCCCCGGGACGCAGGCGGCTGGGCTTCTCAGTTCCAAAGGGAGATGCTTCGATCGTCTCTGAGCGCCAATCATCCCATGGTGGATCAGTGGCTGGACCGACAGGAGCAGGTAAACGCAGGGCTTTACGGTGGGATTACGCTTCAATATAGTCTTTAATATAAATGTAAATACATTAAAAAAAAAGAGTTGTATTGTAAATGTCAACACCCTATTGGATAAATGTCAGATGTCTCAAGTAATGATCTATGGAAGTGTTACTTTAGACTTATGAATTTAGTGTCGAACTCTATGTTAGTTAGACTGTTTGTTAAAAGTACTTTTCATTGAACCGCTTCGGTTCGTCTCCACTTCACACTTACTGCTTTAATCTGCGCTTCTTGATTGTCTCACTCCGCGAGGAATGACCTTGGGAGGGGTCAGACATGTTGAGCTCAGTGTGCGTGGAGTTTGCCTCTCATCACTGCCTCGGTGACTCAGTCTGACCCACGTGGGAGGTGTTGGATTGAAATTTCTTTAATTCTGGAATAAGGAACTAGTGATACGGGGGGCGGTAAAGATGGAGTGATGTGAGGAGGGCTAGGTTAAGACAACAAGTTTCATTTGTTCGGTCATGTTACAGTTACAATTCAATCGCCATCAGACTCCAGTGTAAACTGTCTGCAGCCCTGCAGGCACAGAGGAGCAAGTGACTATGGATGGAAATGAAATATGAGTGGTACACATGTCGGCATGTTTGCATCAATTTCTAAGTTGTTGTGCAATCAATGTCAGCTAATTTGATTGTTTTGACATCATTTGGAGAGTCTCTGCTCGCCATGTAGCTAGTGCCGTTCAGTCCGTTCTTGAGCTTCTACCCCGCTTTACCACAGGACTCCGGGAGCAGAAGCATCGCCCTCTTGTTGCCTTAAATTATATTTCAAATTTATGGAATTATCACCAAGTAAGGTCATATATTAAAATGAATGAAAATCCATAACACATGGTTTAAATTAAACAAAAAATATATATTATAAATTTACAGGGCAACAATATATATATATATATATATTTACAGGGCAACCTCAGGTTGTTGCTCCCTGACATTTTGTAAACTGATATCTGTAAAAAAAAAAAAAGTAAGTTTATCCACAACAAATGTTTTTTTTTAAGGGGACCACTTAAATTGGCCCGGCCGTTCATCACTCACCGTATCTCCGCTTCGATCGCTGCTCCTTTTCTCCCTCACGTGACACTTTTGACATTTTGCTTCTTTGTGCGTTTGACGGACAGGCGGCACAGCAGCACTGAGTTGTTAGATCGTGAGATAAAAATACACAGAGTGGGTTAATTAGAAAGAACTGGGATGACTGCTGAAACACCCGCGGAGATAATGAACCACAGGAGTACAGGCGTGCACTCGCTGCTGCTGCGGCGGGATCAGGGAATAACACCAATTAACACGTGTTTGTTTATTATTGATTATACTCCATATCTGCTGTTCTTAATTGTGGTACTTTACAAGTTGTGTAGACAAGGGTTACATACACTTGCCCACACTTAGTTACTGGAAAAAATAAACCAGAAATAACACTTTGTGTGAGGACGCCCGTGGTCTGTAAGAGTGTGTCCTACTGCAGCAGCGTCACGTTCTCTCTCAGAGCTGTGTTTTCCTTTAATTTAATGATAGCAGGGCGGCTTCCTCGCATAATTGAACAGATGCGGTTAAAGTGCGTCCCAAGTTACATTTGTACAACCTTTCCTTCCTTACTGTAAATTCTAAATATGACTCTTTACTTCCTTACTGTAAATTCTAAATATGACGTACATCTTTAAAATACCAAAGACCCTCTGGAATGTTCTGATGACAGTTCCACTGATCTGATCTGTGATTTTGCTGTCACTGCAACAAGCAGTAAGTAAGAAGCTCAGAGAGGAAGGCTCGACTTGTCACTCTCATCCATACGATCATTAGTGATTTAATTATTGGATAGATAAGGTAAATGTAATTATTGGTTTTATGCAGTTTTGCTTCACGACTCTCCTCATTAAAGAAGCCCTCTATCTACATATTATTTTTACTAATTTCTGCATTTTAAGTTAGTTTAAGGGCTTATCGGGACATTAAAAATAATAATGGTTTTTCAAAATAAGAGACTATGTAGAGCGGCTGTTCCCAGCAACACCTATATAGGCTGCATTTATTTATTAATTAATTAGGCAGCTTATTTAAAAAAAATATAATAAAAAAAAGTTTATTTACACATCTTATTGTCTGGAAAATTCCCACTTAAGGAAAAACTCCAAACAGCCCTCAACATTTTTTAACACGCGCGTAGACTTAAAAATAAAAAGTGTTTTTCCTTCTGTATGTTCCTGGCACCAAATGACCCATGGCCACTACCGGTTCCCGGCCCGGTGGTTAGGCACCCCTTTTCTTAAGGTCGGGGCACGTCTACAAATTCCACACATTGACACATCCTTTTCTTGACAACTTTTTTTTATAGAGAAATAAATGCTGTCAGCCCATATTTGCCGAAGTCTTGTAAAGCGATTGTTTACCAGACCAGGTGACATTAACCAACCTGTTATTACACTGATGATCACTAATGGCTCCTTTTGAAATGACAAGGCGTCCACGGAGACTTCTGTCAGGACCTGCTCCATATCAGTGTCAATAATGGCACATAAATGATACGACGTTCTTTTCCAATCTTCGCAACCCTTCATTCGACCACACAGGCAATCATTCTACGCACCAATTTTCTAGCACTTTGTCCTGGAAGGGTCACAGACATCAGTTGTAGGTGGTGGTTGGTGTCTGCACCATGAACAGGTCACCACAGGTGATATTTATTTCTTTAGTTCTTAGCCAGCGGTGCAACACAGTGAAACATCAGACAAACATACGCTGGAAAAAAAAACAACAACCTGTTACATAACCCATTCCAGTGCATTTGTGAGGAAGAACAGTCGCGTTTGAACACGTTTGATCCAGACTGGGTGCTGTCAGGGTCTCCCTCTGGGTGCTGTCTCCAAATGAGGCACCTTGTCTGGCAAATTTTAAAGGAAATCCAAAATGGCAACGTGCCCAGCTGTGACGGTGTCAGCCAACATGTTGAAAGGAAATGAGTCTGTTCAACTTCACACTTGAAGATAAAAGCGGAGGAACGGCGTGAACACAGTCATTTACCCTGGTACTACAACATGGAGTATTT